TCATGTGCGAGAAGATCATTGTTTAAACAGTTTTCTGCGCCCGGGGTAAATCTATAACTTACACCACAAAGAATGACACCGTTACTAGATTTTTTACCCCGGGTAAATCTATAGGCCACCACTACAGAGAATGACACCGTTACTAGATTTTTTTTCACCCGGGGTCAATCTATAAGCCAACACCATAAAGAATGACGTTACTAGATTTTTGCTCCCGGCTAAATCTAGAGGCCAAAACCGAAAGAAGGACACCGTTACTACATTTTTTCACCCTGGGTAAATCTATAGGCCAACACCACAAAGAACGACACAGTTACTAGACTTTTCCACCCGGGGTAAATTTATAGGTCAACACCATAAAGTATGACACCGTTACTAGATTTTTGCAACGCGGGTAAATCTATCGGCCACCAAAGAATGACACCGTTACTAGATTTTTCACCCGGGGTAAATCTATAGACCACCAAATATGACACCGTAACTAGATTTTTCATCCGGGGTAAATCTATAGGCCACCAAAGAATGACACCGTTACTAGATTTTTGCTCCCGGGTAAATCTATAAACTAACACCATAAAGTATGACACCGTTACTAGATTTAGCACCAGTAGTAAATCTATAGACATAGGACTTACACCATGAAGAATGAATGACACCGTTACTAGACTTTTCCACCCGGGGTAAATTTATAGGCCAACACCACAAAGAATGACACCGGTGTTAAGGCTGGAGTCTATCTTTTCCTTCCACACCGTCTCCTCTTGCTGTGGTATTCTATGAGCGGGTGTTCTAAGCCTGAATTTTGTATACCCCGAATACGGGTTTGCGGTAAAAAAATACACGTGTGTGGCGAATTTTTAAAAAAAATTGATTATCAGTGTCATAGTCAATTAACAATTCTGACATTCTAATCGATAAAAATATATCTAACTTTGATACTAACCTACGGGCGTAGCGATGGGGGGGGGGGGGGGGTGGTGGGGTGGGGTTGGGGTTGGGGGGTACATATGTCCCCGGGCGCCGACCCTAGGGTGCGCCATAATGGGTTTGAAAAAAATTAAAAGCTCATTTTAGCTTCAGTTTTGCATTATAAATATAAAAAAAAATGGGGGGGGGGGGGGGGGGGGCGGGTGCCAAATTGAAAGTTTGTCCAACGGTCGTGAATCCAGATTTAACTAATCCTCCAAATTACCTAAACCCTAATTTGAAACTGAATCATAAAGTTTAACCATTAAAATAACTTCAACCTAAACTCTAAACTCAAGCTCATCGCGGAACTTAACCCTAACTCTACCCTAAACCTAAACACAGTAGGCGACATCAAAGAGCTTAAATATGTAGTCCTGGCTATTTGGAAAATATGAAAATCTTTTTCTTGACATTTTAATTTTACATGCATCATTTCTTTTTCCTTTACATTTCTTTTGTCCTTCTTAAACCACACATAGAGCCAAATAAACAGAAATTTTAGAATCCCTGATAAAAGGTCTCGAATAGCTTAAACCTTCCACATAGCTCAATGTGATATTATCCCAAAAATCTCAAACAGTAAACATCAATTATCCCCTGGGGTAGAGTAACTAGCAATCAGTTGTAATGATACTTTTCACACTTATTCTTATTTCAGCCTCGTTGAGTCAAATTCTTCGATTTTTTTTTTACACAAAGGGTGTGGATTGTATCAAGAAATTGTTTTTCCAATAGAAGATGAGGGTAGAAAGAAATAGGTCCATGCTGATTAGCGGTAACTACTTATTTAAAAAAAAACGAGTTAAAGAAATATTGATATTTTAATAACATTCACAAACCTTAATCTTAACAGTTCTTAATCTTATAGTAAAATTTAGCTATAGAAATTAAAAATATCTCAAACGGTAGAAGTTTTGATACGAATATGTGCGTATGTTTAATGGTTAAGACCCAAAAAGTTCATCAGGCACATACTACTTATGGTGTGCTAAACATTATAGATCTAGAGCGAAGACAGTTGTGTTCAATTATTCATCCAGATGTTGTACAAATCAGAAAGGGTTTAAAACTAAAAATAAACAAATTCAAACGACACTGATATATCTTTGAAAACCAAAGCGCGCTGGCCATGTATATAACTGACCACACCATCTCTTCATGCGCCGTGGTAAAAAAAAAAAGATGAATTCTACTTCATCTGTTGTACAGATTGTCATGTCTATATGATGAACTTCACATCACTTTGCACCAATACTACCCCTATACCACACAAAAACAAAACCATTAACCACAACCCCTTTCTATTTTGTGTTGTTGATATGCCAACGATCGCTCATCCGATTTTTATTGACGATGTAATTACTGTTTAAGTAATGTCCGAATGTATTGAATATTTTCTATTGATGTTTTTTTTTTAGTAAGGCGAGACAAAGACGCTTGAAATCAAAGTGGAAAGGATTTCCATACCCGTAGCTCTGGCAATCGGCCCGTAGTCTGCTAGTTGATTGAAGGGTGCTTCACACACCCGAAAGTTCTACCCCCCCGTCCCGATCCCCCAGGGAGCGTCACGTCACCGTACACGGCTACATGTCAGCGGCCAATTAAAACAAGATCTCCACGTCACTCACAACATCTTAAAGTTTTTCTCAGCTCCGGTGACGTCACGGATTTACGTCTGCCTGTCATTTCGTTGCGGCGAATTTTTTTTTTGTTGCCATTTTTTTTTTTTGGGGAGAGAATTGTTCAGCGTCCCGGTTTGCCTAAAGCTACTTCCACTTTCCATCAAGAATCAATTTGTCATCGATGTGCTTGGGAGCGATTGTGTCTTGATAGTTTAGGCCGGATAAACTCATTAGAAACTTGTAACTTTACGTGTTAAGTCTTTCTTACTTCTTAGTGTCAAATCAAGTTTGTCGCGAATGGGATGGGTATTGTGTGAAAATATAATAAAATATGAAGAATCTTATAAAAAGTGTGATGTCTGTGACGTTTCGACCAGAGGTATTCATCAGAATAAGTTGAGGGATTGACAAATCGGGAGAGATGAAGTGGTAAGCTTTGTGGTGGGGTGTCTGAATGACGTCATAACAAAGACAAGAGAACACAGCATTATCCAGATTTTTTGTCGGTAAAATGTCTGTCTCCTGAGTCTGTATTGAGTTATTTGTCAGTAAAATGTCTGTCTGCTAAGTCTGTATTGAATTTTTTGTCAGTAAAATGTCTGTCTGCTGAGTCTGTATTGAATTTTTTGTCAGTAAAATGTCTGTCTCCTGAGTCTGTATTGAGTTATTTGTCACTAAAATGTCTGTCTACTAAGTCTGTATTGAATTTTTTGTCAGTAAAATGTCTGTCTGCTAAGTCTGTATTGAATTTTTTGTCAGTAAAATGTCTGTCTGCTGAGTCTGTATTGAATTTTTTGTCAGTAAAATGTCTGTCTGCTGAGTCTGTATTGAATTTTTTGTCAGTAAAATGTCTGTCTGCTGAGTCTGTTGTGACAAGTTAGTCAGAAATTTGACAATCTAATAAGTCTGCACTGATTTGTTGTTGAGTAAATGTCTGTCTAATCTGTATAGAGTTGTTTGCTGGTAAAATGTCGATCTACTAAAGTCTGTATTGAATTGTTGGATGGTAAAATGTCTGTCTACTAAGTATATATTGAGTTGTTAATCAGTAAAATGTATGTCTGCTAAGTCTGTATTCAGTTGTTAGTCGGTAAAATGTCTGTCTACTAATTTTTTTTTGAATTGTTTGCTGGTTAAAATGTCTGTCTACTAAGTCTGTATTGATTTGTTAGTAAAATGTCTGTCTACTAAGTCTGTATTGAGTTATTTGTCTTAGTAAAATGTCTGTCTACTAAGTCTGTATTAATTAGTTCATCGTCCATACGACCAACGAATAAGACAATTAGGTATCTGTCGGAACTTGCTGGATCTAGATGTGCTACATACAAGGGTCGTGACCAAAGATTCAGTTAAGTGAACTTTCATCACAACATACTTATAATTTAGATCAACGGTGTTTTGTTATATATTAATGCGTGATATATGTCAGGTAACAATAATTTAATTCAACGCAGGATTATTCCTTTACTTTTTATTGCTCTGAGCAAATTACCTTGTTGAGATGCATCCTAAACTCAATAAACCACATAACGCATCATCATTTACATAACCCTGTCATTTATTGGCAAAACAAGCCTCATCATTTAAGCTGTGCGGTTGTATTTGAAATGTAACGAGCAGTTTTAGTTCTACAAGCATTGTCGTGGTGAGTACATTAGTACCTGGGGAACAGCTCTATTGAGCACAGCCCCATGGTGGATGGGCGGGGCTGGGATATAAAGATGAAGGCCGTGCCGTCAGAGGCGTAGCGACCCTTCCCGGCGCCCGGGGACAAACTTTCGATTTGCAACCCTCCCCTCAAACTTTTGATTTGCACCCCCCTTCAAACTTTCGATTACTTTTTCCAACCCATTTTTGCGCCCCCTAAGGTCGGCGCCCGGGGACATATGTCCCCCCCCCCTTGCCCCCTATCGCTACGCCTCTGTGTGCCGTTCCGCTTCAATAAAGATCGATCCACTATGTAATTCTACAGATAGTTATCCCACAGAAACTGAAGCTACAGTTGAACTATCTTATAGATAATTCAACAGACAGATACATCACTAGAGCTTAGTTGAACTAATGAGCAATCATATTTGGAATGCTATAGACTGTTATATAATGCGTGATTTACCCAACCAATCATGTGGAGGTGTAGGTATCACGTGATCTGTTCAAGACAATGCTATATATAGGAATTTGACATTTGACGTTTACAACAAACTTTTACAGGAATTTGAACCGTGACCTTTTCAACAATCGAATGCATGAATACACTAGATTTACTCGATTTAAGAAAGCTCCAGAGAATAGGGCTGGTAAGTAGGTCATGAACCAGTTCTACGGCTCAAAAAAACCTGCATGAGCCATAGAACTGGTTACCTACTTACCAGCCCTATTACGATGAAAAGAGCGTATCACGTGACCTACCTCGTAGTCGAACGACCTGCAGACGAAGGCTGTCTCCTCCAGACAGGCCTGGGCGCACCTCTCTGGTGCCACACTCTCGATGGTCTTGTCGTTCTCCCCGGGGACGATGCTGTAGGGCGTGGCGAAGAACCGTTCCAGATTGGCACCTGTGGGGATAGACCAGGTGTGGGGGGTTAGATTTGGTGGCTACATAAGTGGAGTCATGGACGCAGAGTCATGGTCAATGTGGTTGAGTCATGGTAGATGAGACTCTGATGTTGGGTCACGAATGAAGAGTGATACATTGAGTCATGGTCAGGGAGTCAAGAAATCAGTTTAAAAGATTGAGAGTCGAGATTTTTGTACAACATGAAATGTTTTTGGGGTTGTGTTGGGCTGCTTTTATTGCACTTCCCTTAAATCCCAACAACAAAACGTGATCCCCTAGATCACCTCAATACAACGTGATCCATTAGATCACCTCAATACAACGTGATCCTCTACATCACCTCAATACAACGTGATCCCCTAGATCACCTAAATTCAACGTGATCCCCTAGATCACCTTAATACAACGTGATTTACTAAATCACCTCAACACAACGTGATCCACTAGATCACCACAGCAAAAAGTTTATCACAAAATTACCGGAACAAAACGTATCCAATGAAGTATTACAAGGATTAAAAAAAGAAAACTTAAACCCCACCGGAATGAATATTTCAATTTTTTTTCCATCGTTTTTCCCTCGACCTTCATTTCCTGAATTTTTATCCCGTCAATATCCCATCAATGCATCAAATTTTTACTAGTGTTTTCTCGATCAGCGCCTCGCATAGCCGAGTTTAACGCATTAACAGTGAGATGGGTTTTTAGGTTCCAGAACTTTCCGGTCAAACACTACAGGGTACATTGGTTAGGTGGTTAGGTGTTTAAGTGGGTGTGGTTAGGTTAAAGGTCATTTGTGGTTAGGCTAAAGGTCAACTGGAGTTTCAAATAGAGGGGCTTCATTTTCATTTAGGTTAGGTTTTCATATTTAAGTAGGGCCTATAGATTAAGTTAGGTTTAAGATTAACTGGAATTACCATTATAATGGATAAATGTAGAGATAATAATATATACATAGATACACTGAATATAAATACTTAAAAAAAATTAGTTAACAATCCACATGCAAATACATATGACTTGATTTTTGTACTGTGGTTGACTTAAAGATCGTGCACTTGTCGACAAACAAATTGTTTGATATTTCTCTTGTTTTCCCACCTCGGTCTTCTTGTAGGTCTTCTTTGCCCATCGCTGTACCAGTACCAGTGTGTTCCAGAGATTCTTCAAGGCATCTCTTCGGGGGTGGGGGGGGAGGGGGCAAACGAAGTGGAATTTAGAAAATGTATGCCTTTACCACTGTCCGCCCCCCCTCCCAAAAACTTATAAAGTGCCCCCCTTCCCCTACCCCCGAAGAAAAAAGTCTGAAAGAAACACTGGTCTGTTCAAACTCCAGTTTTTAAACATGTTCTCAACGGGACTTTAAAATGATTGTTTTTCTTGATAATTTCCACGTTAAGCACCTAGTGACACGGAATAGTAGTGTAACTATGATTGGTGATATTACGGCTATGATGCATGGGTTGGTTTGGAACATAACGGTGTTTAACTCTTGAAAACAACATGAAAATTTGAGTTAAAACAATCTGAATATGGGAAGCGATGTAATAATAAAAATGCCGTTGGAGTCAATAAACATTTTTTTTACTTTTCGTTTCCTGGGTTCGAACCTGTGTCTTTTGAAAATACTGAGCAAATCGAGCTTGTTGGTGTTTAGATTCAAGTTACAGACAATCATGTTTTCACAAGACAATGAATTCGGAGTAGAAAAAAAATTAGAGATTTGTAAATACGAATTCATTCTGAAAGTTACGGCCACGTAAAGGCACATACTAGCCTTATATCAGGAATTATCAGGCTTTAATTTTTCTTGTGAAAATTGTTAATTGTTGTGATATAATGTGAACGCTGTATTGTGTGTGTGTGGTTCGGCGTGGCCGAATGCTAGAGCGTGCGACTGCTAACCCGAAAGTCTTGAGTTCGGATCCTTAAGCCAAATAAAGTACCTAACTGATGTCAGGTACAGAAAAACTGGCTGAGCATAGTGTTGACCATAGTATCAATTCATATGCCGAGGGCAGTTGAACAGATAATAACTAATTGGTCCTTCAATGGTGACCTGCCTACATAAAACCACATTAACTATGTATTGGAAATTATTGTGTCGGTGTTTTTTTTTAATTTTAGACCATCCCTGAATCCACCCATCTCTAACTGGGAAAAGTAAAGGCGGCTGGGCATAGTACTGACCACACTATCTCTTCATATGCCGAGGTCACAGAAACAGGTGAACTCTACTTCACTTCCGCTATAGACCGTCATGTTTGAAATGGGAACTTTACTTTTTTTTTTACTTTAGACACAATGACCCTAACCTGACATGTAAACTTGGAAAGTCATGAAAATAATTGTGTCGGTTTTATTTTTCTGCATATTACTTCATGAAACATATCTTTAAATAAAATAAAGATAATATTTGTTTACAAGCTACGTAATTTGTATTTAAAAATTAAAAAAAAACAAAAAAAAACACAAATATGTTTTAAATTGACAAAAAACAGGATCAACAATAAATAGACTATTGAAAAAATGCACGTGTTTTTCTATCATGTAAATACCAAGGCCACCTTCTTGGAAATATTTTTCTAGAATCTCAAGAGACTAATCGTAGACTGCCCAGCGTTTGTCTGCCAGTTTGAAAACTCCAGCCGATCTAAGTGGTACCGACATGATTAGATGGATATCGAATGGCTTAGTGTTAATCATTCATGGCTGATGTGAGCGGTTTAAGGTGGACGCTAAAAGGTGAGCAGCTTTGGTTTAACGTAGCGAGGTTATGCGTTAAATTATGGATGAAGTGGAGTTGTGTTTTGATGAAGAGGTAGGGTTGGGTTATTTATTCATGCTATGATTAAGGTTGGCAGTTTGTTTTGGGTGAGTTCGTCTAGATAGTTTGATCGATATTTGTAGCCGTGTTGTAGAACTAGATAAATGTTTTTATTTGTTATTGAGCAAAAGTTAATTACTTATTTAAATCGAGGTTTTTAAGATAATTTCTAGATTTTGCTGAAAAAAAATATATATATAAAAAAACCCTTCATACATGAATTTCCATGAGGCATATGAACTGAGAGTTCATTAATTTTTAAACTTTGACATTTTAAAGGGATTATGGAACCAAGAAAATACCTGGCTGCATTTGCTAGGACTTAGGTACGGTACTCTTTAGAGCTGGAGAGGCTCATTGAGGACTTACGGAAATTTGGCCTTGTAACATGAATTTTTTATCAGCACTCGACTTCTTAGTGACAAGGTGGTCGAACAGTACAGTACATGACTGCTAACTCAAGAGTTTTGAGCTGGAATTAAGGGATAAAGTCCGTAGAATATTTCGGAGTTTACCCAGCTCTAATGAGTACCTGCCTAAACATAATAACTGAAGCAAGCAATAGCACATTGTTTAACGTTGAGGCTGTAATAGTACCAAAGATAAGAGCATAAATATTGATTGGAAAGCAATATAGCCCATATATATATATTATATATATATATATATATATATATATATATATATATATATATATATATATATATATATATATATATATATATATACATTCTTTCTCAACATAACGAATGATCCTAACCCTAGATAGGACATTAGACCAAAGCCTAAGCTACATTGTTGAAATAACTAATGTAAAGGGTTAGGGAAAAGAAAAAAAAACAACAGTTTCCGAAACCGATATGTAAAATGTTGAGTTAAATTTAATTACTTAAAAAAATCATTTTACAATGACAGATATCATTTTTATGCATGCATTTAATTCTTATACAAATTTTAAAGTTACTTGTTTTCTATCACACAGATCTTACTAAAGACTGCATTAATATTGAGGTATAAAATACATTTAACTTGTTTCGGCAAACCCTGTTTGTACATTAGCCAGATAGAAATTCTTATCAAAGCCTATAGTAAGTAAACATGCATGTACCAATGTGATACCTAACACTAGAATGGTAGAAGGGGGTGGACAGGGCATACACTCAGAACGACTGGTAATAACATCAGTAGTCAGGCACTTGGGTGAATCATCAGCTCTAATTAGTAACAATCATAATTTAGTTAACAATTTTGACAGTTAATCAGAATACCTATACCGAAACAGAGCTACTCTTCTCCACCTAATCCAAATCTAACCCTAGTACTTGCTTGTACTGGTTCAATACCTTCATACCTACATCCAGTCTATAACTAAATCGACCATTAATATCTCCATACGATTACTCACACTAGCCTCAGGACCCAATATGTCTAGAGCACCAAAAAGTTCAACTTAAAATGCTTTTGTCCAGCAAGTATTGAATCAAATCACCCCCGAGCCGTGGTCTAGACCAGACTAGATTGTAAAAAATTTACCGGCCGGTCCATTATGTTATTTTCAGTTTGATTTCTATCGTAAATAATGAATAGGGAAATCTATTCCATTGTCACTTTTTCAGGCGCACATTGGAACTTATCTCTAGTAACGCTAGCCACAGATGTAACTTAAGAATATATATATATATATATATATATACATATATATATATATATATATATATATATATATATATATATATATATATATATATATAATTTATTTATTTATACATATATACATATTATGTGTGTATATATATAAGTGTGTATATATTTTTATATGTTTTTATTGTATATATATACATACATATATATATATATACAAATATATATATAAATATATGTATATATATATATATATATATATATATATATATATATATATATATATATATATATATATATATATATATATATTTATATATATATATATATATATATATATATATATATATATATATATATATATATATATATATATATATATATATATACATATATATATATATATATATATATATATATATATATATATATATATATATATATATATATATATATATGTATATATATATATATATATACTACAACTGTTTCTCCCACTCCTCGCAGTAGAGTCGACCACTGTCAAGTGG